CCCCCTGCCCCCCCCCCCCCCCCCCCCCCCCCCCCCCCCCCCCCCTGCCCCCCGACCCCCGTCTCGGCCCGACGGAGAGACGCATGGTCGAACGCGGGGAGTGGGTGGCGACGTCCCTGTCATGCTGCGACGTGCGGCGATGTCGCTGTCATGCCGGGACGGGTGACAATGTCCCTGTCACGCCAGAACGGGTGACAATGTCCCTGTCATGCCAGAACGGGTGACAATGTCCCTGTCGTGCCGGGACGTGCGGCGACATCCAGGCGTCCGGCGATCAGAACGCGACGAGGCGGGACCTTTGCAACCCGGAAGGAAGCGGAGAGGACTCTCTCAAGGACCGGCGGGGATCCTCAAGGACTGCCAAGAACTGGCAAGGACTGATGAGGACCGGCAAGGACCATAGGAAGCTTTAAAAACCCGGTTCCTTAATTATTAACATAAAAGCAAACAAATTACTTTATTGCAACTCCGCCCCCGCGGCATGCATAATCCCCGCCGAAGAAAAAGCGGCTCGACGCCGTCGTTAAATATTCCGCTGAATAATAATAAGTAAAAAAGAAGGCTGAGAGAAAAAAAGAAGGCCGGTTCCAGCCTTTTTTTTTTTTAAGGGGAATTGTCTTCATCAGAGCTTCCGAATTAAGGAATATTTTATTTTATTTGAGCGCCGAAGCCGATGAGTATTTTTTTTTTGCAATTGTGAAATAAAATTAACACTCGAAGTGGATGCATGGAGTTTGCGGCAGAGATTTGGCAACTTGTGAATTTGCGAGAATCAAGCGATATTGCTAAAATTGCCCTTTAGAGGTATTTAGGAACGCTTTTTTTTGGCATGTTGCGAATTTGCACGACGTCATGCGTATCAGCAAAAACTGTAAGTAATTATACATAATTATGCAACAGTTACACTAAATCGACGCACAAAACATTCGCATTTTATTATAATTAGCACGTACCGGAAATTCCAGTTTTTTTTTAATCATATCTCACGTGCCGGCGGCTTCCGTTCCTTTCTCCGCCGCCGTGAGGCAGATTTGAGGTCGAACTGCGGAGAGCGACGCATTTGTATCGCGCGGGGCAACAGTTGCATGGTGTTGCATTTTTTTTGCAACAAATGTAAATTCGCATTATTGGCACACCGGACGATCGCGCTGCATTTTGTTCTATTGAACCCAAAGGAATGGCAAAACACTTGATATTTTAAAATGTTCAACTCTTTTTTTCATAATTCATAGTGTAAATGCGTGAAATTGGCAAATAGTTAAATTGCAATTTATTTTTACTTAAATAAGTTCAAAATGAATTTCAAGTGGCAGTTTCAGATGGTCCCTCTTTTGTAGCAGAAATGCGACAGGACTGCGACAGGACTGCGACGGAAGATGTCAGCCAGTCCCCCGGGAATCGGTCCAGATAAAAGGGAGGTGCAAAAAAGGGAGGAAAAAAAAGGGTGGAAAAAAAAAAGGGTAGGGAAAAAAGGGGACATAAAAAAAAAGGGGGAGGGAAAAAGTGAGTTGTCATGAAAGCCCTTTTTTTTTATCGTCGCTGACGACAGGCAGTCTGGCTCGGACAGGACCCGGAATCGCCGGAAAAATCGCTGGAAAATTGCCGGAAAATTGCCGGAAAGACGAACGTGCTGCTGTTCTGCTCCGAGTGGCAGGGAAGAGGGAAAAAAAAACGGAAACTCCGGCGTCCTAAATCCGCTCGGCGGCACAATGACCTCATAAAGAGCGGAATGACTCATTTGCGGTCTCTCATCGTGGCCCGGGTGTTAATTGCCCTGCCAGTCCCGGTCGTAATAAATTTTCCGCTTCGTCTTCGCTGTTTCCCCGTCGACGCCCCGCGGCCGTTTGGGGAAGCGGTTCACGGGCGATTGCATAAAGAATTTCTCGACTAGATCCGCTGGGTCCGGTCGTCGGGTCCAGTCGTCGGGTCCGGTCGGTCGACTTTTTCGCTCGGCGTCGACACGGCGGTCAGGATCGACAGCGAACTCAGAAACGGAAAAGAATCGACGGCGGCGTCTCTTATGGGTGGCTCGTCCGCTTCTCGGGCGTTCCCTAAAAACTCTCATTTTGTACTTCCGGTACTTCCAGGAACTTCAATTCCAGTACTTACAAGGACACAAAATGGGGACAGGAAGGTGGAAACATCCAAGCTTGGAGGAGAAGTCGGGAGAAACTCCAGAGAAATTTCTCTGATTTGGATTTTGATCGAGAGAGAAAAACGAGGGGGGCAGCAACTGGTCCGAGGGGCAACTGGTCCGGTGGGCAATTGGTCCGAAGAGCTACCGGTCCGCAAATGGAAGGGCCATAGATAGGGTTTGGCGCTAATTACAACAGCTCATTTGGGAGTTGGTCAAGGTTGCCCCCTGCCGCGAAGGGGTTCACTTCATCGCAAACAGATTAATTAAGCAGCGAAATATTTCAAGCATGACAGTAATATTACGCAAGATCTTCCCATTCGCCTCCCGTGCGCGTCGTCGGGGATCAACACTCGCGTGCACGGGTCGGAGGCGACCGCGGTTGCACTTCCTCTCGAAGGAAGGGTCGTCCGCTTTCCGGGCCACCCAGTGGCCATCCTTGGGCTTCGGACATCCCAGTCGCCCCGCTGCGGGGCGACTGGGATGTCCGAAGAGGGATGTCTGCGTCTGGGTGCGATCCGGTAGAAGTCTCTGGTCGGGGAGGACTTCCTGCGGCAGGCTCCTGGCAGTGGCAACCCCTGCCAGGTGCGACCCCTGCCCACGGCAAACCCTGTCGGCATACATACACTTCCGAGGTCAACGAGGCAGTTCCACCGAGATCAAGAAATCCACGTCAAACTAGTCGACTACTGTTCCCTCCACCCACGCGAAAGCCTACGGGCAGGAGTAATAACAACGGATTGCTCTGTTCGCTGTACACCCACTTCGCCCCGACCTTTCCCTCGAACGACCGACATCACTTCATTATCTAGGCTTAGCTTAGGTCGTATCGATGCGACTCCTCCAATTGCGAAACAGCCCTGATCCGACGAGAACGACAGACGAAAAAAATCGGCTTGGAGTAGCAACTAAAACGCAACTAGCCCAGTGAGCAAATTTGCCAAGGAAGCAACTGGTCCGGAGAGCAACCGGTCCGGTGAGCAATTCGGAGGAAGCGCAACTGGCCCGAGGAAACGGCGCGAAGAAACGTGACCGGGGAGAGCGGATGCGGGCAGACAGCGAGCCCCTCAGTGGCCTTCACTTGTCACTCAGTAGATGTCTCTAATGGGCGGTTGAGGCCTAGCCCCTTGTCAGGTTGACGGGGGAATGGACGAGTGACTCTTTCCGCTTTTCTCTTCCTGATTGTCTGGTCGGAGAGGAGTGGGCGTGGTTGGGGTTGTTTTGTCGCCGTTTTCGGGAGATGAGTACTGAGGGAAAGTGGTGTCCCTTTTTTTTTTTTATCCAAGGGAATTTTTTTTTATGATGGAGCATGAGGTGAAAAAGGGGGTCACAATTGAAGCTTGAAGGCAATTCTGTGGGCGGTTGAGGAAATCTGTTCCCATTAGGGCAAGAGAGGCTGGTGGTATCATTAGCCACTATCTTACCAAAGATAAGGATCATGTTGTAAGAAGGCGAATCGAAGAAGAGAAATGTCTATCCGAGACGACGACACGCTGCGACGAGTGCTGGAGAGGGACTGGCCGGGGAGTTAGGCTGACACGCACGGCCTAGAGGCCTGCGCGGCTCGACTCTCCGGCGCGAAAGACCGGCGCTGGAGCTGGACTCGTTGCAAATAAAAAAGCCTACACGAGCAACACAAGGCATACAATCCACTGGCATTTCTATTCATTGTTTGCGAAAGAGGATAGTGACTCCAGTTGGAAAATTCCAGGAAGGGCACGAGCCAGGCAGCTTCCAGTTGCTGTGACGTCGTTCAATGCAACCATCCATCTCTGTCTCTATCTCCCTTGCTCCATATTAAAACGTTCACACCCCCCAGACTGCATGCATAAACCAGACTCCAGTCCATGGACACAGCCATAAGCAAAAAAAAAGAAGACGAAAGAAAAGCTGATAAATGGAAGCCCGGCCCGAGGAGGCCTCTCCATTCCGTCCTACACATACCCGCGGGCCAAGTCATGCAGGTCCGCGGGCCAATCCCACAATCTCGCAACCCACGCAGCTCCCCATCCCCGACGCCAGCGAACCTGGAAGGAGATCGAGGAACAAAGTAGGCAATGTGGCGCCGCTCCTGCGCCATGTGATGCCCCACATTATGGTGGAAGATGGCGATGGGCAAGAACCTCCGGGTCCTTGCAAAGGCCTTACCCGAATCTCCCTATAGTGTCATCTTAGAGGACAGGACCAAGAAAGATACCCTTTTATTCGATTCCGGGGCTGTCGCTGTTCTCAGTGAGTTGGTTCTTTCTTTATTCATCGAGTAGGTTTCGTCAATTGAGACCTTTCAGTTACGATCTAGGTCAACCTAAACTTAACGTTATTGCTAATGTCACGTGTAGCTTATCATCAGCAAAGTTTGCTGGTATAGGTCGGACTTGTTGGTCTATATTAGGTATAGGACAAGTTCTTTGCAGGCGACCTTTACATTCTATGTATTAGAGGCTGTTAGCGTTATTTATAAGGCAGTAATGGATTGAGTTGTGAGCTCTTAATTTTCACATTGTTCCTAACTTTTTTCTTTTCGTCCAGCCGAGTTGCAGACAGAGGCCATCAGAAAGCAATATTCACGGTTGGCAGATGCCTACAGCTGTCTTGGAGTGCTGAAGTTCGGAAAGTCTTCCACAACTGCCAGTGAGTGGAGTCAAAAGATTATTCTATAAATTATTTCTTTCATACCAACAGTTGGGACCCAAATAGATAATCTATCTCTAATTATGATTAATCATGCACTTAAAGAAAAGTTTTCTATATATTTCCTTGGAAATCAAGGCGATAAAGTTTGTGGTTATTTGAGCGTATGGTTAGACAACCATCAACATACTAATCACTAATCTATGTCAGCCAGATAAAAGCTATGTAAATGAGGTCATTAGATGTAAAAGTATTAGCAGAATATTTATGGCTGATGTAGACAACTCCATCTCAACTTGTTTGTGGCATTGGACTCTGTCTTTTTCACATGATGTTACACTGTAGTGTTCTGTGCAGGCCAAAACTCATGAATGTGATGTGTACTCTGCAGCTGAGGGAGAAGTGCTGTACCTGGTTCTGGTGACGGCATGCAGCTCGGTGGGGAAGATACGAGACTCGGAGGTTTTTCGAATCACGCAGACCCAATTTGTGTCCCTGAGAGGAGCCGTGGGAGACGACGAGAGGGTGTCGGAAGTGAGGAAGGTGCTCAACTCGGGGACGTTCTATTTCACCTGGTCTGGAAGCAGCGAGCCCCTGGATCTCAGCCTCTGTGTGCAACGAAGGACCCGAACCGCTGTCACGGACAACAGGTTTTTTTGGTCAGTTGAGAGCAGTGCTCTATGGGCTGACTGGCTTTCCCTCCCCTTCTTGCAAGGCCCTTGCCATTGAAAAAGGAATGCAGCTTCTCATGCTATGGCTCAGATTTCTCTGTCAGCACAAAGTTATTGTCAATAGTAGAAATTCTATTGCTTCACCAAATTTCTATGCCAGTGTGAAATTATGTTAAACTTGACATCTGTATGGTTAAAAAAAATTTATGTAAAAAGTTCACATGAAGCATGCAGGAACAGTTGTAGAGCAACATAGATTGGAGCAAGTAGGCATCCTCTTTTCCCACCATACATGCTGGCATGTTTCTGATGTCCTCTTAAATGTTTCTTCCCCTACATTTTTTTGTCATGTTGCCCCCTATTAATTTGCTTGTACAATTTGCTAGAATACTGTCTAAGGCCGTCACCCAGTATGTTTTCCATTGAACTCAGTTCGCTTTCATTCCAGGAACCGGAATCTCTTCTCTCATCTGTCTGGCTATGGAGTGGACTGTGGCGAATGGCTGGTGAAGATGATGTGCGGTGCAGTTGAGATCAGGACCATCTATGTTGGACACCGCCAGGCCAAGGCTTGCCTCATCTCTCGACTCAGCTTTGAAAGGGCTGGAACTAGGTACTAGACTTACGTTCTGTATGAGTCATCCCACTGTTCTCTGCTTTGTTTAATATTGGTCAATTTTCAGGATCCTTTCATAGGATTATCTTAGCATCATCAGTATATTGTAGGCAAATTTTTTGTTTTGAAATTGCATTTTTGCATGCTTCTGGGTTTTCATGGAAATCTTATCCTGCATGTTTCCTATTTTCCTCTGCAAATCCATGATCAAGGCTTGATCCTACTTGAGCATGTGAGCTCCATTTCTTACTCTTGGACAGGTTCAATGTGAGGGGGACAAATGATGAAGGCCACGTGGCAAATTTCGTTGAGACCGAACAGGTGATATTCCTGGAAGACGAGGTCACGTCATACCTGCAGACACGGGGATCTGTTCCTCTCTTTTGGGAACAGCCTGGAATCCAAGTGAGCAGCTTTTGTGTTTTCTCACTCATGCTGATGCATCAAGTATATTTACAAAATGCAGAAGACCAACATGATGCTCCAAGTAGATCTTCAAACATTTTATTCACATTACTTTTACTAGTCAAGCATTTATCTCACAGGCACCCCACCCATCCATGCAAAAGAATATGTAGGATCACAGGGAAGAGATAGAGATTCATTGCAAGATGGCAGTGATCCATGACTCTGTAGACTGGTCTTTGCTTCTTAAATGTGAATGTGGTTAAGATGGGCAAATCCTTACAAAAGGAACTTCTCTTTGCTGCACAGGTCGGCTCTCATAAGGTGAAGTTCTCCAGGGGCACTGAAGCATCCAAGCATGCATTCCTGAAGCACATGCACTTGATGAAGGAGCGATATGGGAGGCAGGTCATTGTTAACTTGCTTGGGGCTTCTCTGATTGGAAGCAAGGAAGGGGAGGCCACCCTCTCTCAGATGTTCCAGGTTAGTTTGCAGCTGTATAAGCTGAGACCCTCTCCTGTCTGTGTTGGTGCAGACTGGGCCAAATGTATCTTGAGGACAAAATTTCTGTGAAAATTGAGTTTCTCTTGCAGTCTTTGAGTTATTAATGAAAACTTCTGAGATTTGACAGCATGGAGACTCCAATATAGAACTGCAAATAAGAATCCTAACTTTTTTATTTGAAGAAAAGAAGGCGACAGTTCGTATAGACATGCTGCAGTCCCTGACATGGGGCAACATACACCGTATCTATTTATTTCTAGTATAAATCTTTATTCTCAAAGTTCGTTCATATTCACTTATTTGATTGTGTTTGATAGAAAATATGTAATGTTGGCTGAATTGATTGTAAATTTAAATAATTCTTCTGGCCATGGTTAAATGGATTCAGGGATAAAGGTCGCCTATCTTTTGGAGGAAGGAGAAGGTGCTTTTTATTTAATTTTTAGATGTTAGTGTGCAAGAAATATTAGGATAAACTAGTTTCTTTCTAATTCTTTACCATTGACTTTTGGTGATGATATATGCTGTCAAGAAACACTTTGGCTGAGTCAAACATATTGGTGCAGAAATGGAATTCCTGAAGGGTCCAAGTTACACCAGACTGTCTGGTCTATTGCTCTACTAGTGTCCATTGGTGAACCATTTCTAGTGTCTTTTGGTGCTTTTTACAATCTATATCACCATTGGTATTGAAACAGAAAATGAATGTATTTTTTCCCTGCCTTTAGTGAGTTGGAATGAAATTTCATGCAAGGAAAGCACCTCAGACATTTAAGAAAATACTATTGATTCACTGAGTAATATCAGTACTGGAAATTTCATATCAATGGCTGAAAACCAGGCATGTCTGTGATTAGCAACATCTTTTTATTGCATCTCCCAGAGAGGAGTTTCAGGATCTGTAAAGTTGTCATCTGGCCCTTTGACTCACAGAGGTCTGTTTTGAAAAAGAAAGTGTCATTTTTTCTCCAGTTAGCTTCTCTTTCTGTATGGAAGTTTTGTATCTTGGATAAGTTTCTGGTAACTCCTGAAATTCATCCTGATATTAAACAATTTATTTCAATAAGTTCTTTTCAAGTTTCAAGTTTTTACATATGGACCATTCTTATTGCATTTGCTGGAATGTGTATTGAATAAATTGCATGTACCCAATTAGCAATTCATGACTTAATACTATGAAGTATTAAGTCTGGAGCCCAAAGTTTATTATGCCTATTAATGCTTATTTTCAATCATCTGTTGATATTCTGATTACAGAGTCATCACAAGGATTCCCCCTTCGCCAGAACTGTTCCACACATCCTCTTTGATTATCATGCTGAGTGCAAGGGAGGGATGCAAAACCTGTCCAAACTCCAAGAGAAACTGCGGGATCATCTGCGATCTCTTAGTCTCTTTTATGCTAAGGGCAGTGAAATCTTTGTGTAAGTAGTTCCATCAGTGCTGAAATGACTGAGTCCATGGAATGTTGTAGAAACAGATGTGACTCTTGGTCTTGTTGATTTCAGGCAGCAAAAGGGGACCTTGAGAACCAACTGCATGGACTGCCTAGACAGGACCAACTGCGTCCAGACCTTGATCGGGCTGGAGGTAAGTGTTGCTGGATCTCCGTGCAGTGCATGCGGGTGAGTAATGCAATGGTGATGTCCATTGACAGATCCTGAGCAAGCAGCTGCATTGGTTGGGACTGGCCGATAAGCCCCAGATCGTCGCTCGATTCCAGGACATGTACAGGCAGATGTGGACCAACAATGGGAATGAAGTCAGCAAGATCTATGCTGGGACTGGAGCTTTACAAGGAGGAAACAAGGTCCCTAGTTCCTTTAGTTGTCTTTTGAATATGACTGACCTTAGTCAAAAATAATCTTGTTGGTCACCTTCCTGCTGTTTTCCATGTTGATTTGCTGAAAGGCCTCTGTGCAGTGTATTTTTTCCATTATGCAGCTCCTCATGTCCCTCCTGCATGAGAATATAAGAAAGAGGTATTTTTTTAATTTGAGGAATATATCTGTTGGCTTATCTTGGGTTTCTGCTTAAGTATTAGGATTCAATTTCCTATCTGCAGCCTAAGAATTAGTCTTTTTTTCTGTGATTGAGCTTCCCTTTTTAAGTCAGATCTGGGGCAAAAATGAGGTCATATAAGGTCCATATGCATGGGTTTTGGACAGTGTTCAATTGTTTGTTTTTTACCACCAGCAGAACTCATTCTTAATTCTCTGCCTTCCAAGCAAAGTTGCTGCAGATTGCTTTAGCAAAGAGGTCAGGTGTTGCTAGTTACATGTATGTGGTCAGTGTGGCCATCAGATTTTCCAACAGTTGTTCAAAGCATCATTCAGAGCCTGAAGTTTTAAAAAATAATAATTCCTGCTAATAGGCTGTGGACTGCAGCCCTGTTTAATAAGTGCTCTTGGGTACTATCAAGGTGGGCCTTAGAGTAGTGTTTCAATATTTACATCCAGGATGGAAATTAGGGATGCCAATAAACCTGATATGACTGTTATGAATCTAATTTTTTTAGTATCATCAGGTATCGATGCTGATTCCTACATTTGTTTTTGATAATTGTACAACATAATAAATGGGATCACCATGCTTGGGCAAGCCAAAAAGTATTGCCATAGTTGTAGCAATTATTTCGACATTTAGTATTGTTTCTTTTTGAAGTTGAATGTCATTCATTGCTTCAAGGTCTTGCAAAATGTTTTAGAGAACATATTTGTGTGCATCATAAACTTTCAGTTGTTCTCCATAGGGTTCTTTCAGATTTGCTGTTTGTCATCTTAACAGTTTGGCCCAGGTTCACTTGTGAAATTTTCAATTAAATTTGAGCATACTTTTTGCGTCAAGTAGTTTTGAATACTAAATTAAATTATTTGATTTCCCTTTATCTGCAATTGCTGGAAAAAAATCTGAAGAAAATCACATTAGAAAGTGAAATCCCACACTTGTTAGCAATCCTGAAGTCATGTAATTTCAAGGAAGATTACAAAGGAAAATTAAAGTGACCAGATACAAAAGTTTTTCACAGCAAATTTTTAATGCAATTTTAAATTTTTAATGATTTTTTTGCAGTAGCAAAAAAATAATTGACAGAAGCCATTCTCACCATGAATTAGCTACCTCAAGTACACCTTGTTGACATCAGTTCAGAAGAGGATATAATTGCCATACTGGAAATGTGGAAATGAACATGAATGTGCTGTTCTGTTGTATTGGAACCTGTAAGTAGGTGTAGCTAATTGGAGATTGGTCATGGAGTAGTTGGTAGTTATCATCTGGGTTGATTTAATTGTAGTTGATGGATGGTGCTCGATCAGCAGCTCGCACAATTCAGAATAATCTATTGGATAGCAGCAAGCAAGAGGCTATAGATGTACTCATCATGGGCAGCTCAATGAACTCCGAATTGGCCGACAGAGCAAGGACGCTTCTACCTTCACATTTGCTTCAAGGTATGTTTGACCCTTCAGACTCTTATGGCTGACATGAAGATGTGTGCACAACTGTGCATGGAGCCTTGTTTTGGCTGACTGTTCCATCATCTTGCCTTGGCAGCTTCAGCAGGCTTCCTGAATGAAGTGGTTAAGCGGTACCAGGAATTCTCAGAGCACATGACACTTCGCCTGGCTGTCGGTACGTACAACATCAACGGGGGGAAGCACTTTCGTAGCATCGTGTACAAGGACTGCTCTCTTGCTGACTGGCTTCTGGATTGTAGACCCAAGGCTGCAGAGGATTGTGAGTTTGTTGAGAATCACTTGCAGCTCCATAGGTGCATCTAAGTGCAGTTTGTGTATTTAATTGGTTCTCATATAGTTGAAGAAGAACCAGATGTCCCTGTGGATATCTTTGTTGTCGGGTTTGAAGAGATGGTGGATCTGAATGCAGCAAACATTATGGCAGCCAGGTGAGACTTCATCTCATACTCTTTTCTGAAGTAGATGTGAAATAAAAGATAAATAAATAAATTATGCATCATCATTATCCTTTGTACTGATCACATCTTTTTCAAGTATTGCACTTGATGATGACTACTTTCACTCATATTCCACTCTTGGTGTTGGCAGCTCAGAGAATGCAAAGGCATGGGAGAAGGAACTGCTGAAGACGATAAATCGAGACAGGGAATACGTGTTGCTCACGTCAGTTCAGTTGGTGGGCATCTGCCTGTTTGTGTTTGTTGATTTGCATCTCACCCCACACATTCGTGACGTTGCCACTGACATTGTCAAGACCGGCCTCGGTGGAGCCACAGGTCAGTTCTCTCACTCAACTCTGGCTGTGCCTGTGAAAATGTGTTGAAGTATGTGATTTCTTTGTTACAGGGAATAAAGGAGCTGTAGCAGTTCGACTTGTCGTCTATAATTCATCTATGTGCTTTGTGTGTGGGCACCTGGCTCCCGGTCAATCGGCTGTAACAGAGAGAAATCAGTCATATCACGACGTATCTCGCCGTCTCATCTTCCCCATGGTTGGCCTTCACCTGTTCTGCATTGGAGATTGTGATAGATCAGTAAAGGATTCATTTCATTTGAATGGGAGCATCAGGATTCTTGTGAATGTCAATATTGTGCCATCTTATATGTTGACTCTTGTAGGACTATAATGAAGGAAGCAGGAAGAGCTAGGAAATTATTAGTTGTGATCTTGAATTTCCATTTTTGACTTCTGCTTGTGCAGATTGCCTGATTTTCATGGGCTGGTTCATATCTGTTCGTGATGTGTATTTCATTGTTGGGCCTCTTGCATTATGTCTCGTAATTTTTTGCATGAATTCATGAGTGTAAATTAAAAGTGGTGGGGAACTTATTAGGGATTTCCTTCTCTCAGGGGAAGTCATTGAATTCCCATGACTATATCATCTGGTGTGGAGACTTCAACTACAGGGTGGACCTGACCAAGGAGGAGATGGAACAGATGATTTCTGAGTCAAGGTGGGAGGAACTGCTGGAATACGATCAACTCAGGGTATGTTGTTGCAGGAGGTAGTACTATTAATTCTGGTTTTCTGTGAGTGATCTGGACTATACAAGAGTTTTCCATGCAGGTTCAGCAAAGCCAAGGGAATGTGTTCAACGGCTTCCTGGAGGGTCCCATCAACTTCCCGCCCACTTACAAGTACGACTTGTTCTCCGACGACTACGACACCAGTGAGAAGTGTCGTGTGCCTGCCTGGACGGATCGCGTGCTTTGGAGGAGGCGGAAGTTGTTCCCTCAGGAAGCATGTGAGTATTCATCTCTTTTTGGGCCCTGTGGGGTCCACAGAGATGAGATATGGATGGAATTCTACTAAAGCAACAAATTTTGTCACTAAATGCTGGACTGGTATCTTGTGCATTACTGTCACTCATATCTCTCACCAATGATGGAATTTTCAAAATTTTCTTTACTAGGAGATGTCTCAGAGCTCAAAGTCTTATAGATGATAGCAGCCTGTTCTCACATGGAATAGAGTAGGCCCACATAATTCAAAACCTGACCAGATATGAATGCCCTGAATGCATCATGCATTGATGACTTGGGTTATGACTAGGGTTCCATCTGGAAGCACCTATTATAACGCAGGACCTAAAAACAGTAGGGTGAGTTCAAGGTTGTAAAATAGCTACCTGCTGTTGAGCAGATTTAGATAATAAAGTTCCCACATGTGGGAAATATATTTATTCAAAAACTAGCCAGGTTACCTTTTGCTATGAGAGACAGCTATTATTGGATATCATAGCTTTACTGCAGCATTTATCTAAGAGCCAGGAAGTGTTTCAAAACTCACCCTGCTTATTATCATATAAACATCATTGGCTTGTAACTGCTATATGCAAGAATGATCCCATATACATGTGTATACCTATGCCAAATTATTCAGTGAATGAGCTTTCCATTGTAGGCTGGGGAGAGTGATATAAGAATTGACCAATGTTGTTCCCAACTCTTCATTAGTTTCAGTCAGATGCATATATAAAATTCAAGACAGATCAAGGAATGAGCAATTTCCCCACCATGCCTCAATTTTTCAGTTAAAAGCCCTGTACTTAGCTGTTTCCTGATGCACTTTTGTTTGTTTAATGCCTTTAGGCTAGGTATGGCTGTAGTGAGGCCTAAAATTTTGGGCCAAATGATGTTCATGACTCCTCTTCACCATGCTATCAAGTAATACTAAGTTGTACCTCCATCCCTCCAAGACACATGATTATGATTACCTGTTGCCTACTTGTGATGATTGCCACCCTTATTTACCACTAAAACTTTCCTGTTGACAGATCTTCCCCATAGCATGTAGTAGGAGGTATAGTTAATTCCATATAGTGATGAAATCTGCATTGATTAATTGTGGTGTTATATATTAAGGGTAGACTGCTTATGGTGAAATTATATGTAACTGGTGAGTATTTTATTGTCCAATGTGCAGCACCCATGGATGACTGGAGCCCAGGTGAGTGCAAGTTCTACGGAAGGGCCGAGCTGAAGCAGAGCGATCATCGACCTGTCATCTGCATCTTGGACGTCCAGGTCCTTCGCGTGAGGGAGGAGGACCGGAACCGAGTCATCGATGATGTCATCCATGAACTTGGCCCCTCTGATGCTACAATTGTTGTTGAGGTTAGCTGGTGATTCACATCGCATGAAAAATGATGCCAATGTGTTGGGTGCATCGTGTCATTTGTTGTGCAGCCTCACCAGCACAGCCCAACAGAAGACGACGACATCGAGGACATCTTCGATGGCGACTTCACGCAGGCCTTGATGAATGAGCTGAGTGCATATGGCCAGGTTGTCCTAATGTACTTTGCCCAGAACAAGATGTGGGTCACGTTCCGGGATGGCCGGGCGGCTCTTCAAGCCCTCTGTGTCAACGAACAGCCTGTGAGTCCGTATTCCCCTCGGTAATGAGGTTTGTTCGCTGGACTAGTCAGTGGAAGGTTGTGTGATAGCAGCACTGTTGGAATGGCACAGATGCTAACCTTAATCTCTGTAAGAATACAATGTTGATGTCCTTGTATATAATGAGGATCTGCCTGGCTCAGCTGGTTACTTGACTGGGATAGGATTGCCTCCATGCAGTCAATGCTGATGTCTATATAGTTGCAACCCTAAATGAGAAAGGCTGTAGTTCACATTCTCATGTGCATGTTTTTCAGACATAGATTGAAGTACTCATTATCATTCTTTAACATTATCATATCAGCCCAAGATCCAATTCTTGATCAAAAGTCCTGACCCACATAAACCCAACTCCAAAATGCCCCTCATTATTGACTCTCTGTTCCGTTCTCTTTCCTTCATTTCCGAACCAGATGATGAAGAATTGCCTGCACTGTTAGGCTTGTTGTGTGACATCACAGATGATGCCAGCATAATCAAGAAACTGCTAGGTTATTCCATTCCCCCCCATCCACCCCCTCCACCTGATCTTGCTCATTCAGGATTCCACTTGTTTTATAAATGAAGAGAATGTGGTCACAGACTTTTTAATCATGCTGACATGCAACAGCCTGGGCATTTCTTCATCTCCAGGTTCTCTGCATGGATATATCAACGGTAAAAGTATGTCCACAAAAATGGGGAATATGTAGAGAAAGAAGGGCTGCAACAACTGTGTATAAGTAAAGGTGTGCAAGAATGGTGTCCCTGTAGTGTCAGTAGAGTGATTTCATTGACTCTTGCACCTACTCTTGAATGCATCCTGACTTTAACAGATGTGGGCAATGTTTCATCTAACTGACATCACTGATTGGTTTGAGTCCAGTCTGGCAGTGTTGAGATGATGTCCCAATGAGACCTGAAACCCTCAACCTAGTATTTCTAGCTTCCTTGGTCTTTCTGCCTAGTCAATTAATTTTTTTTTTACAACGGTTAATATCAAAACTGATATGAGCAGCCATCTTGATGATTGTCTTTACTGGGACCATGCTTAAGCAGCAATGACATCACAGCAGGGACTGGGGACTCAGTGGTGTAGAAACAGTTATGGGCTTACTCTGCTTGACTGTTGTGATAGTCCTTCACAATGCTGACCCGCTGGAACTTCTCTTCAAAATTTTAAATTGACTGGTTGTTTGGTGGCAGTGAAAACTTGATATTGTAATTTGAAAATGAAAATTATTGGAGTACTTGCAGATATTATTCTGCTGCAAAAGGTTGCTGTTATCAGGAAGAGGTGTACTGTGTGCAATTGTAAACAAAAAGAGAACTTGAAATACATTGAAGGTGTTATAGGTTATTTCAGTCTCACATCTTTATAATTAAGATTTTTTAACCTATTTAGGGTCAAGTCAGCTAACAACAGTTACCCATTGCCAGTAACCTATGAAATATGAAGTATCAGGTTTCACTTACTGTACAGATCAACGATGTGGTGGTGTCGGTTCGACTGAAGACAGAAAACTACGAAGAGCTGGTGAAACAAGAGCTCCGGCTTGGAATTAGCAACACTGTGCCTCTCTATGTGAAAGACAAGGACAAGGGGGATGAGGAGGAGGAAGCCAAGCCTCACGATCTCCCTCTTACGATGCCCCCTCTGTCGGAAATGCAAGGTGAGGGCCCTGGCCTGTGCCTGTCTTCTGTTTCCAGGTCTTTTGATTTGATCTCTTTATGCCACAAATCAGTTTCCTTGGTTATTTTTTTGTGTTTCTGAAACTCTGCAGCTGCATTTTCCTTGTTTTAGTCAGCTTTTCTTGTTTGGTTGTTTTTGTTTCAGCTCTTGATCTAGTAATTTTAAGTAAGAAGAAGAATCCTCCCATACGAAGAGCACTTTCAGCAGTCACAGCTCCTGCTCCTCCTCCTACTTTGGTTCTGCCTCTCCACCATTCCATGCAGCTTCCAAATGGCTTTGATACCAAACCTCCCCTTTACAAATCCACTAGAGGTATGGCAGCAGCGCATCATATCAACTAATGCCCCCCACTTTTGGTCACGGAAGGAAGGAGGAAGACAGTGATGATGACTTTGTCTTTTTATTTGCAGCCCAGTTTTACACTTCCATAGATGACAGCGACTTGGGAGACGGGGAGCAAGAGGGTTGGTCATCTGGGCGGAGCACCCCAGAGGGAGACAAGAAGCCTCCTCCACCGAATCGACCCCCGCCTCCATCTCGTCCTCCACCCCCCACTATTCCTTCCCCTTCTTTGAAGAAAAAGTCTACTCCTCGAGTGAGTGTCTCAAAACCTTCATGCCTGCAAAAATTGCTGATGAACTATTAGCAATTCCTACTATCAGTAATATCCTGACTAAGCCCACTCTGTTCCCTATTGGGGCCTGCATGCCCTAAATGTACAAATATGTAAATTTCCCCCAACACCAACTTTGGAGATTTGGTTTGAACAACTTTGGAAGCGATTTTATTAAATGAATGCATGTTCTAATTGGTAGCAAGTGTCTGTTTAAGAGGGAAGAATATAGGATTTTTTGTCAGATGAAGAATTATCTTGTTATTCAACCTTATTTGTACTGTATTTATCATGTAAATAAGAAATTTCAGTTTATATTGGTTTTCATGAATTTTTAGCTATATTCTACCAACCTACTGTGTAATTAGGTGAGGACTAATCAGCTATTACAGTGAAATGTCTTCATGAAAAATATGGATATAACGAAGTTCTTATTTCGATTAAACAAATTTTATATCTTGAGCTGGATGCCCAAGATTGTTTGATGAATCCAATAGCACTGAATTGTATCTCATAACTAAGTAATTTGCATATTCACATCCACTTTACTATAGCAGGGTTTGAATTTATGTGAAAGGCTTGAATGAGTTTGCTTTGTATTACCAGGCAGGAGTAATCAGTGTAAAGCCACCACTTCAGCCGGCACGCCCGGCTCCCCCGGCACCGTTGACCGATGAATTGGTCCCAGCTGCAGCCCCACCACCCTGCCCACCAAGGCAAGACTCAATTTCTCCACCTGAGGAATCTCAACCAGATCCCTTCTCCATCCCACCTCAATTGGACTCCATGTCCAGAGAAGAGACAACCAAGAATGGCACATATGGGAATGGAAGGACCGCTCCACCGGTTCCTCCTCGACAAGACTCCTCGTCTCCCGAGGAGACCCCTCTCCGGCCTCTCCCACCCATTCCCCCACGTAATGACAACGAGGACCGGGTTTCATCGACAAAACCCCTGCCATTGATTCCTCCACGTGGATCAGTGCGGAACCCGGCATCGGCCCCTCCCATACCCTGTCGATCGGGTCTCCCTCCTCCCATTCCCCCTCGGGGGAACTGAAGTCACTCCCCATTTGTTTGTATTGTCTTCCCTTCGTATCCAGGCTCTAGTCATTCCTAATATCAATGTGATATGATTTCTCAGTTTTGTTACCAGTACTGGGTTATAGGGTTCCTGAAGCTGTGGGAGTGTTCTGCATTCACACAAAACCGAAAGTCCTTGCTCAGTTAGTCCTTGATTGCCTTATCATTTAGGCATCTTTCAGGAGGCACCAAGGGATCCTAGTCTTTTGGGTCCTAGTCCTAGTCTTTATGCCTTGGGATTTGTGTAGGAAGTTCTTGAGTGACAGAATCAAATGTAAAACTATAGATTGAGTGACAATATAATTCCCCATGCTCAAGCATTTGCAACAGTCTTGGATCAAAGTTCCTTTGAGGCTCAGAGTACTGGTCAGGCTAGGAATGGCTGTAAAATCTTGTGTTCAGTAAATGCTTTGGTTCGTATATGTTGAATTACTTTCCTGTGCTAAAAAGTTACATCTATGCCTCATGAGATCCCCTGTTGTGTGCCTTCTGAAGTATGCCTCGTGCAAACGATGCGATCCATCTCCATCGGATGAAGTTTTGGTTGACATTCCACTAGTGAATCTGCATTTCAGTCTGGGGGGCCAAAAACCCATAGCTGAGCAGTTTTCTCCCTACTCATCATGTAAAGCAACATAAATGGTGATAATGTAAATGCTCATAGAATTTATCTGAGAACAATATAAAGCTATAGCTGTGTTATGGACTGCATTTTAGTCATCTTAGGCATGACATTACATTGTCGTGCGTGTATTACTGTTTTTAATCCAACAATGCATAGACCTTAAGTATATATGCAAACCTTGCTAAAATTCCATCGCCCATGATAGGTAGGAAGGTGATGATAGTGATAGCGATGATAGGTGGTGATAGATGATGGCTAGTCCTTTGTCTTTCTTTTGAGTTTGCATCACCTGGGTAACACATTGTAAACTCTCCTCAAAGTCACCCTTGTTTGCTCATTATTGTCCACATCTGCCGTTGTTTAACCTGAGTGAGTGGTTATCCTCAAGATGAGGTTCTTTAAAGTTTATTTTCAAAATTTGGTTTATTGAGCTAAGTATCTTGCCTGTCAAGGTTGGCAAAGCCCTTGGTGCTCCCTTGTGATTTAGGTTGTCTTTGTACTATTTTAATTTTTAGGTTCAATATTTCTGTATTTTTATATTTAAAACCTTTTATTATTGTTCAATCAGATTTTACGGCTGGTGAAACTTATACACTTGAACCCACCTAGAGTATCTATGTCTTTATGGTTTTCAGTACTTCAAATATTCATTCTTTGTTGCGATGTCCCCAGTGCCTTGCACATCAGGATTGCTCAAGTATGACTTATTGATTATTTTTGTTCAAGATCTAGGAAGGAAACAAGAAAATCCAAAAACAATTCTCTTTTCAAGCGCTGGTTGGTGATTCTTGGAAGTATGCACTCGGTGCTTGACAGAAGTATTGGGTTCTGGTTAGTGGACTTCACATATGAACATGAAGGGTGACTTACTAGAGGAGAAAACTATATACATATTCAAAAAGAAGTATTATGCATTATGTGAAGCATGACTATAGAATCTTGTGCCACTGCATTATTCAAGAAAAGCTCTCATTTTTGTTTGCCTATTCCATAACGTCAAGGGGAGCAGAATGTTGGGAACTGCATTTGTAGTACAATAGGGGACATATGCATGAATGTTGCTTTACATGATTTGGGGTGAATCAACTCAGTGTCTTGCCCTTACATGAATTTGGGCCACCAGACTATTTCCACCTTCTTATCGCACTACATAGGTTTGATGTCTCTGGATGTTCTTCTTTTATCTCGGGAACTGTTTTGTGATGAGTGAATGCTTGTTGCTAACTTATGCTGCTGCAGTTTGGAGATGATGTTGCAGCACGACTCTCATGATCTTAGGCTGCTGAAATTTTGAACTGGTACCCTCACATCACCAGCTGCATACCTGTGTAAAGAATCCATAACTCAGTGCTGCTATGACTTGTCAGCGGCTACTCGTTCCTGCTGTTGTGCTGTGTTCATAATTACAACTTGGGATGAATATTGGTCCACTGTGGAGCATCCACTGGGACCTGAGTAATACAAGAAACGAACTCTTGTCACTTCAAGAACGTTTCTGCAGTTCGTCGGCCACGTGTGCGTCGCGTCCGAGAGTCGTCTTAAAGAGTCAGTGCTCTTGGCAGCATTGTTCTTGGGATATTAGTATGTGATGGAATCCTATTGCAAGCAGGTTTCAGTTTGTGGTGCATGCAGCAGCCCATTTTGGGTGATTTCTTGTTATGTCCCATTATCTGTCATGGTGCACAGAGTGCAAAAAACCACCCTCATGATTCTTGAATACCAGAATAAGGTTCACTTAGCCTGTTCTAGCAACATATAGTAACTAGGAAAAAGGTTATGTTTTTTTATGTATTTTCTTTTCCTGGATATGAGCCAAAATCTTGTGTCAGTTGGGTAATCACAAGTTGATATCAATCAGTGTTGTATTTTCGGGCTTAGTTCAGCATCAGATACTGAATGTTTCGTTCTTCATTCCATTTCTGGGTGAAGGATTTTGATTGGTGTTGCACTGTGATTCATGCTTCTTTTCAGTGAAATCTTTCGAAGCTTTAATCACGTTAGGTGATCGGCTGAAAGCTTTTCTTTAGATGAGATTTATTGTTGCTTTGTTCCCCTGGGTTGTGTGTAACTAATTAATATAATATAGGTAATTTATTTTACGACCACTTGGATTTTAATTTTTTGCTGCAGGTGCCAATAGCTGAAGAGTAGTGCCAAGAGTTTTCTGTGAGGCAGAGGGTATGGATTCTCATTCATGCAAAATCTGGCATAAATTAAGTTATTATTTCACGGATTGGCCATTTCACTTGATGGATGTGAGGAACAGTTCCACGTAGATCTCGACTGTGTGTCCAGATATTTTTGGTCCTACAATTAATGTACAACAAGAAAGCTTGTTTTCAAGCGCCAGATGAATTCCTTTTCACAGGCCCATGAAGGGCCTGTGAGGTTTGCCAAGACCCATGACTGACATTTAAGTGATCTTTAAGGGTGCACCGCACCTTCTAGACGTGGCACACAAAGTGACACATCGCCATGCATTAAGCAGGCACTCTGAATAATGTTATTTCTTCTTCCAATTAAGCATGACTGAGAAATATGTCTTCCCATTGTTAAGATTTAAGCAAACCTACAAGGTGCTTCAGCATTGTCCAATGATGCCCATCCAAGTTTCAAAACTAAACAAGCACGTTCCTTGCTTTTCCAGTTATTGAACATATATGCATCGTCAAACTAAATTGAAATGCAAATCGCTTCAAAAGCCATTTGCATTGATCGCTTCTCATCCGGAAGACTTTTAGCCGTTTGGCCCTGTTGACTTGGCTTGAAACCCAACGAGGGCCAGGGAATTTTTGTCACAATTGTGTGGAAAGAGGAAAGATATCACTCCGGTGTCTGAACATGGTCTAAACGCACACAAAAATATGTTATAATATCGAGTATCAAGATCCATGATGTGCGAGCACGGATGCAGCTATTCCAGATAGTATGTCATATCTCGTCGTGCACCTAAGCTTCCCCTCTTCACCAGAGAAATGAGAACGCAGTCAATTTGTGCATGCGAAATGCCATCTGTGAGTAATTGCCTGGGATGCGTTAATATGGCCGAAACGCGATGCCCGAATCGCCAGGTGCGAAATTTCCGGACACGCCATCCAACTGTTTCTTTAATATCAGGCGGAGCACCTCCCTGGAAGACGGTATTCCCCAGTAGACTCTTAAGTGAGGAGGCTCAGTAGGCGAATTTCAGAGTCTCTCCTGCATCCATCTCGTAGCTACCACATTCGCAATCCATCTCTTCCTCCTTGCAGCAGTCCTCTCCTCCGTTGCTGTCCTCCTCTCCCAGGCGAGTTCCAATTACGCTTTCTTTGTCATTTCTATCCTTGCTGTCAGTTACTTCGCAGATTCATCGATATGTCATGCAACCTAGAGAAATGCTCCTTTTCCTCCAGCAATGACTTTCCATCACGCTTTTTTTTTCTCCCATGGAAATGGAATGTGGAATACAGTTCCTGGAATCTGGACAACTCTCTGGAAATCGTGGTATGAATCGAAAATGCTGTATTTACCGTACTGTACTTGTAGCATAATTTTTTTTTGCGACAAAGTATGGACCGATTGTGCAAATTTTACTGAAGGCCGATTTCATGGATTCTCCCGCGGGGAAAGAATGAATTTGAAATTTTTTTTCCCAAGCAGGCAATTAAGAAGCCCACAGTCATCAATCCTGTCCAAAGTGAAAGATAAGTCACAAGAGCTCCTTAAGTTTTGAAGATGTTGCCCAAGATTCGAGTCGTCAGGAGGAAATAATATTCCGAGTCGAAATTTCCCGCGTTTAAGAACCGCTGCAGGTTTATGCCATTCTCGTTTCATCAGCGCAATTTTCCCTTTACTTTGCACATTACTCTAGGAATCCTAATGCTATGTGCGAATCTTAAAACTCGCTTCAGTTTCATTATCACCTCCCTTAAAAACTACGATAAGAATGTTGCGCTAAAATGGAGGGAAAGTTAAATCCGGTCTTCCTCGCTCAATTGTTTTTTTTTTTTCCGGTTCCTTGCAGCTACAATAGTTTGGGACTAACGATTTCATTGACGGTTTAAAAACCCGAATAACCGATGATTTTTCAGCTTACTCTTGAGCCATTCGATATCAAAGCAAAGAGGCGACGGGATGGAACCTCTTGACTTCGCCGCCCTTCCCCTTCATGACCGTATGGAAAGGATGAAGAAAAAAGATGCAACTGTAATTTTCGCGTGCAGGATGCCACCTGTGAATGGCTGTGCTGAATATCCAGACACGACCGAAACCCGGAATACAAGGTGAGAAGCACAAAGTGCGCATATTCTCATCTTACTTCCCAAATGATGAAACGAGGAGGATCAGTAGGCGAATTTCAGAGTCTCTCCTGC